TTGGAAAGTACACACTTTCTCCTTCGAGTGGCCAAAACTTCAGCAAAATTGCTGCTCTAGTAGAGTTTTGGCGTACTTTTACACAACTAACTGCTTAAGATGTATTTGTAGCTCCGCCTGGTAACCGAAAATATAAAAAAACCCAGACAAGCTCGGAAATTGGTTGCTATTCCATTGAAACAACACTTTGCCTTGCTAAGGGACCGAATGATGAAAACGAGAATTTTGAGCTGCTTAAGAATTTGTGCTGTGTAAACCGATTTTCATAATTGTATTTCTCAGAAACCTGCCGGGATAGAAAAATGCTTGTTGCGCCACTGGAAAGAGTAAACTTTTCCCTGTAACAAACGGAAAGTTTACCCAAATGCCAAGTTCTCCGAATTTTTTGTGAATTTCTCTACTACCGTTGTATTTGCTAGTGGATTTCCTAACTGACGCTTTGAAAATTGATTTTCAAAAATTCATGTTTGGCAAACCAGTTCAGATAAAACGTCGCTTGTTGCACTGGAAAGAACGAGATTTCTTCTTTTATTGCTAAAAAGTTCACTCTAGCAGCTTTCCTTTCTAATTTTTGACGAATTTCTAATTCAGTCTGTAATACCCGATTTAGTCACTATGCAAACTCTTTTTTTCGAAAATTATTTTTTCCCAAATCTGCACAGATAAGAATTAACCTGTTGCGCTACTCGAAGTACTAAACTTTCGGCTAAAACGTCCAAAAAGTTTGCTCGAATTTCCGATTTTCCTGATTTTTGGCGAATTTCTGCACACTAAGCTGCGATCGCACTTATCTCCACTGATTTGCTAATGAACGCTTTGAAAACTGATTTTCCAAAATTCAGTTATAAAGTTAAAGTTAAATTTAAAATTGCTTGCTATTCCATTGAAGCAAAACGCTTTTTCCCTTGCTAAGGGACGGATTATTGCAAAATAGTCGAAGGAAAAACAACCAAAATCCGAACTTCGATTCATGGTAGTTAGGTAGGTACTCACCAATAAACTTGCCCATATTAGAACCTTTTAAGGCACCCGAACTGGCCACAACAACGCAACTATTGAAGATCCTGTTCTCAAAAAAATGCCTCTTCGGCATCGAAGCCCTCAAAGGCTCGGTTGAAGCGATGTCGGCCCTCCTCAAAGTTTCCAGCTTCGTACTGAGGAGCTCACACAGCACTTGCTTGGGCGGTTTATCGTTGAAGTCCTCCCGAGGCCCCGCATAGTGCACGTTGTAACTATTATTGCTATTTCCCTGCTTCAGAACATTGCTTTCCTCCATCACGGAATTGCTCAACTGAACGAGAATCTTCTTCTTGAATTGCGAAGTTTTCTTCCGACATTCTTCGGCACTCTCATTCTTCAAGCAAGTGTAAAATTTACCGTCGAATTGGGCTTGATGGCTATGCAAACTGGGAAACCTGGGCATAGAACGCTTTACGTAAGTAACGTTGCTGGGAGAAGCATGCTTGGTGCGCCATAGAAGAGTGGGCTTTTTGTTGGGGAGAAACCCCCGATTGTATAAGAAGATTTGATTGTCGTAGGTGGAAATGTTGGGGAAGCTCTGCTTTGGGGGGCTCTGCCGGTACTGCCACACCATGTAGAAATAGCTGCCCATGCCGAATAGCATTAAATTGATGAAAACTACCCAACTGACTGTGGAGCAGCGCATTTTACCTTAGAAGAAAAATGCTTTTTGGATTAAAAACTGAATTTTCCTCAGAAATTATTTTCAAACGCATAAATTAAAACACTGTGTTTTGAAAACGTTCCCTCCATTCAAACAGACCACGCCCAGCGCCGAAGTAAAAGATCCGACTCCGCCCACTACACGCACAACCTGCCCCGTTAAGTCAGGTTATGTGGGCAAAGCCTGTCAGTTGTGGAGGTTATATTTACCCTGCTAAATTTTTGTCGATTCTGAGGCTTTTCACACTATTCCGCGATTTCTTTTCACTGCAACTAACAGAAAATCCATTGGAAAAAAACCGTGTGTCTTTTAAACGGGGCAAATAGTGAAACCGGGTACCAGCCACTCAACCCCTTGCAATCTAGGTCACTAGTGGGACATGCGTTCATTCCACCCTGCGATTGATTGAAAACACCCCTAGGATAGCTGCGTCAATGGAAGCAGGGCTTGCGGAAGAGCTGAGGCGCACCTGGCTAGTTTCGCTGATAGGGCTCCTGCTATTCTCCGCTGGCTTACTCTTGATAGGATGGAACGAAGTAAGAAAGTTCGAGGCTAACATGTAGGCCCCAAACTTATGTGGATATTTTGCTAGCTGCGGGCCGTGCATCGGCACAATACTCTGGATGTGATGCACTTGGAGACGGTTTCCATCGATCCTGACGATCAGTGGCTACAAGAAAACGATGGAAAGCTGATCCATTTGACTGGCAATTTGGTTATTAATGAGCCCCTGACTGATCCAGAGTATGGAGTAGCAGTTGCAGCTGCCAGGCTAAAGCGCCGCGTCCAGATGTTTCAATGGGTGGAAAATTACGCGTAAGATCACTTGAGAGCAGCCCAATTGTTGCTCAAACTTAGCGTGCTTTTTCAGCTCCCAAAGCGACGATGTTGAGCCTTCCAGCCAGGATATGCATGGCAAAGACTACTACTACGTTACAGAATGGCGCGACAAACTAGTGGATAGCAGCAGCTTTTACATTCGCCAAGGCCATGAAAACCCCACGTAATACCTTAGCTGACTCTAAATAGACCCTCAAGCAAATTCAAGTCAATTTCAGCAAAATGCCCATAAAAACCCAAATTTACACCTCGGCCTCAGCCAGGGTGGGCCAAATAAAACTAAGCAGCGAACTGCTAGAGAAGTTCAAGCAGTTTGAGGTGATTTCTGGCGACCAACGCCCGGACAGAGACGACATCAAGCTTCATTTGGGCATCTACTATCATTGCCGCGTAAGTCATTGGCTCTCAATGCAATATAGGCCTCATATTGGGGGGTTTTAGGACGTTTTCAATCCGGAAGTTGGCGATATTCGCATTCAATTCTACTACGCGGGGGCCCATGACGAGCCAGTTTCAATAGTAGCGAAGCACGAGAAGGGCTGGTTGGTCGCCCATAAGACCACAAACGGGCAAAAGTTGGCTCTAGTCGAGAGCGGCACTCTAAACAAAGATCAAATATTTGCAGCTGCCCACAAGGATGTGAGGATATTCACGTGGATGTTGCGCTTTCTGAGCGCTTTCACCTTTTACGCCGCCACTTTATGTTGGTGTGGCCTTTTGAAGATCATCTGTAAGTAACTGAATGTTGTAGAAACTCGAACATCGGCCAGTATTAATGGTTTTCAGTCAACAAAGTGCCTGGCCTGGAAAATCTACTGAGCGGCAGCCCACACGATTTCAACAACTTTCTGTTTGCGGCCTCCTTGGACCTTTTTTTCGTATCCTTAGTCTGGATCATATATCGGCCTGTTTTGGGGGCTAGCTTGATTTTTGCCTCACTCAGCCCATTGCTCTACTCCATCCTTGGAGAGTATCGATAGCGGCCTAATCCTCCAATGGTGATATTCTAGTCAAGCTTTGCTTTCTGTTGGTGAAGTGGATTGTTTTTCGAGTGCGTTTTTTTTTAGCCCAAAGTGATTTTAATTGGTTATTTTCAGTACACTTTTGGCTAAAAATTGTTTTTTATTCGCAGTTTATCGAGGAAGGATTAGTATATATTATCTTTAATTGTTGGTTATTGGAAGCAAGTAATGTTAAAAAATTTAATTTTCGCAAAATCAACAGGCAAACTATGCGACGTTGCCAAATAATCGTCTATAAAACCTTTTGATTGTTGTGACGCTTGTTTTGAGGTTAGTCGTGGAAAGTCGTAAACAAACGAATTTTTAAGATCGCGAGAAAAATACACAAAAAATGTCTGATAGTGGTTCGGACAATGAATCCAACCGGAGCTCCATCTCGGCCAGACGCCCCACTGATCCAGATCAAAAGTCCGGCTCAAATTCGCCGGATTCTCCCAAGTCAAGGCAAGTGAACCAATCGAAAAGCCCCATCAGGTCTAAAGTTCTAATCCTTTAGGTCCAGATCAGTGTCCAAGAGCCGATCTAGGTCGCGATCGAAATCCAAGTCGAAAAGCCGATCTCGGTCTAGAAGCAGATCCAAGTCGAAGAGCACGTCCAGATCCCCAAGTATAGCCAAGTCCAGATCTAGATCCACATCAAGGGAACGGTTCAGAAACCGATCGCGGTCGCCTGTGAAGTCTTCAGGTCGGTCCCGGTCAAGGTCCAAGTCCGCCAGTGTTGCAAGGTCTCGGTCTGGATCAAAAAGCATCTCTAGATCCCGGTCCAGATCCAAGTCCAAGAGCGTTGCAAGATCAACGAGCAGATCCAGATCTAGAAGCAGATCAAAGTCCAAGCTCAGATCCAAATCGCGTTCAAGATCCAAGTCGAAGAGCGCCGCAAGATCAACGAGCAGGTCCAGATCTAGATCGACGAGCCGATCTAGATCCAAGCTCAGATCAAGATCTCGGTCAAGATCGAAGTCAAAGAGCGTCGCTAGATCAACGAGCAGATCTAGATCGAAGTCGAGAAGCAGGTCTAAATCCAAGGCCAGGTCCCACAGCAGGTAAGGGAGAGTTTTATGGTTTATTCCAAATGATTCCAATCGATTTTACGCGTTTGCAGATCGAGATCGAACACCCCCAATTTGGAAATCGATGAACACGTGTCGCCTAGGAGTGAGAAGCGAGACAGTTCTGTGGAGAAACCGGTGAAGAAAAAGGGGGGTTTAATCGACTCGGAGAGTGAGGATGAGTTTGGGGATACTGCAGACGGTGGAGGACAAGGAGGAGGAGGAGAAGAGCAAGGTAAGGAGTTCCGTTGTGCAAGGCCCTGTACTAATCAGCTTTCTTAGATGTTAGTGCGGCGGCAATTTTCGGCGACGCCGACGATATAAGCGACGACAGCGATGACGAGAGGCAAAAGGCTGAGTCGGATAAGGAGGCCAAAAGAAGCCGAAGCAGGAGCAGATCTAGAAGTCGGTCGCGCAGCAAAAGCGCAGATAGAATATCTGGCGAGGAAGACTTCAGACGCGTAGGCGATGAGGTAGTCTTGATGCGTAAAGCCCAGCTTCTTTATGCGTAAAGCTAATTTGCAGGAAATCGAGAAGGAACACGATCCCGAGCCCATTCCAGAAACCAGAATCGATGTGGAAGTGCCGAAGATTGGTTGCGATTTGGGTAGAGACTTGAACTTTGTAAAGTTGCCGAATTTCCTGTCAGTAGAAACCCGACCGTTCGACCCGGAAACATACGAGGATGAAATTGATGAAGAAGAGACTTTGGATGAGGAAGGTGGGAGCTGCACCTTAAGTATTTCCTGCTCTTAACTAAAAACGGGTTGTTTTTCGCAGGCAGAGCAAGGCTGAAGCTGAAAGTAGAAAACACGATACGATGGCGGGACGTTCTAGACAACGACGGAAACACCCAGAAAGAATCCAACGCCCGCTTTGTGCGCTGGTCGGATGGCTCGTATAGTTTACACTTGGGCTCGGAAATCTTCGACGTCTACCGACAACCCTTGCAGGTAAATAGCGCGATTTTCTTTACCACATCGCACAAAAGCTGTTGAATGCAGGGCGACCACAACCATCTGTTCATACGACAAGGAACTGGTCTGCAAGGCCAGGCGGTCTTCAGAACGAAGCTGAGCTTCCGGCCGCACTCTACTGAAAGTTTCACGCATAGGAAAATGACACTTTCGTTGGCTGATAGATCGCAAAAAACCTCTGGCATCAAGATACTCTCCCAAGTGGGCGTCGATCCCGATAACGATCGGGCGGAGCGGCTCAAGGTAAGTCGGCGCGCTTCCATTGCTAGGCTAGAGCTGCAATTCTGTTCTTGTTACAGAAAGAGGAGGAAAAACTGCGGCAGACTGCCCGACCGAAAACAGCGCGGAAGAAGATCGATTCTGTGGCTCGAGGTCACGCCGCTCGGGATTCATTTAGAGAGGAAGATGGAAGCGATGATGAAGGCGCCATTTCTATCAGCGCCATCAAGAACAAATATAAAGGCGCGGCTGCTGCTGCTGCTGCTTCTAAAGGTTCCTTTTATCGCACAAATCAGCCAGGGGTTTAATGTTGAGTTGATTTTAGCAAACATCTACTCGTCCGATGAGGATGAATCGGATGTGGAGACGAGGAAAGGCAGGAAGAGCGACAAGGCCAGGGCGGCCCTCAAGGATTCAGACGAGGAGAGCGGCAGCGACTAATTAGGATTTAGTGTTGTCAGTACTTGTTGTTGTAAGTACTGGAAATAGAAGTTTAAATCTAAAAACGTATATTTTTAAATACACTCGTCTGGAATACACACGTTTCACATCAAACACATTTAGGCCTTATAGTACAAAACCACCAACACGTACAGTGTGATTGAAGCGCGAAAATGACGCCAATTTTGCATAGAATATACTGTAAACCGAAGAACGGTTACGAATTTAAAAAGCATGCAACGTTACCACATTCAGAACTCCAAGGCAGACAAGTCGTGGCCCTTCATCTTATGCTGGGTCTTAATGTGGGTATACAAAGTGCCACTATGCGAGTAGGATTGATGGCATATTTTGCACGTGTAGGGTTTTTCGCCCGTGTGTCTGCGCAAATGGCACGTAAGAACGTCGCGCCGAGCGAAGCTCTCATCGCAATGGGGGCAATGATAGGGCTTCTCCCCACTGTGCATCCTCATGTGGATTTTGAGCTTGTTACTAGCGGAAAACCTGCCAAATTTTTATTACTAAATCGGTAATTACTAGCAATACAAAAACTAACCTTTTGTTGCACAGACTGCATTCATAGGGCTTTTCCCCAGTGTGAGATCGTTTGTGACTGATCAGATTGCTCGGCTGGAAGAAGCTCTTCGAGCACACGTCGCATTTATAGGGCTTTTCGCCAGTATGGCGCCGCACGTGCACTCTGAGGGCCGTAGGCGCGGTAAACCGCGCCCCGCACATCATACACGCAAATGGCTTCTCACCTACAACAACTCTCATTCACTTAAACCCCCAGAAAATCGCACATTTTACCTGTATGTGTATTCAAATGCACCGTCAGCCCATGCTTTTCGGAAAACGATTTCCCGCAGGAACTGCACAGATAGGGCTTCTCCTTATTGTGCCGTCGAATGTGCGCCTTGAGATTGGCCGCAAACTTGAACATTTTGTGGCAAATGCTGCACTCATGGCTGGGAATAATGTGACTAGTATCAGGCCGTGGTTTAGGCTGAAATGTTGGAATAGTAGTTATATTAAAAAAGGCGACATGAAAATTCCAACCAGCTAACCTTGTAGTTGCTTGGACGCTGCCCTGTATGGGTCCAAATGTGCTTCTTCAGGGTCTCCTTCATGGCAAAGCATTTTTCGCAATAGGGGCAACCAAAAGGCTTCTCCCCGCTGTGGGATCGCAAGTGAATCTTCAATTTACCGCTATGATTGAAGCTGCAAGAGTTATTATGAGCAAATAAAATGAGAACCCCCCGAAAAAGTACCGTTTTCCGCAGATTTTGCACTCATAGGGTTTTTCCCCAGTATGCACTCGTTCATGTTGTTGCAGATTTGCGGCCTGCGCAAAAGACTTGGGACAGTGGCTGCATTTATATGGCCGCTCCCCTGTATGGGTCCTCACATGCACGCGAACCGCTCCCTGAGTCCGAAACCGCGAGCCGCAATACTTGCACATATAAGGCCGATCGTCTGCAAGCACACTTTAGACTAATGCTATTGTTTGGCAAAAAACCTCTACTTGTACCTGAGTGGGTGGTTAAATGGCTCCTCAGCCCGCATTTGTCGCTGTAGTCTTTTCCGCAAATATTGCACAGAAAAGGCCGGTCAGTCTTGTGCTGCTCCTGATGGTCAACCAACAGGCTTTTGTACTTGAACGTTTTGCTGCATTTTTCGCATTTGTACTCTGATTCGAAATCGGAGTCGTCTGATGTGCCTTGATGGGCGGGTTCAAACGAATTGTCCTTGCAAATCCCACAATTAATTTATTGATTTGTATGCTCGTTTAGTGAAACTTACCTGCTCGAAAGCGTCTTCCTCTGGCCCATCAATGCCATTTTCTACATGCTCAGCAGCCTCTTCTTCCATCTTTAAGCCCCCATTTATCTGCGGTTCGGGATTAGGCGCAAAAGTGAACAATTGGGAACTTTAGAGTGGTTTTGCAACAAGCAATGTTCGCTGGTTTAGGTTGCTACTTACCTGGTTGTCTCCAAGACTGGATTTGCGCTCTCTCAGCCCCATCCGCTTGGGCAACCCTTTATCAACCGCCTCAAACTTGATGCATTTGTGTCGATCCAGATTCTTCTGGAACTTGTAGGATTTGCTGCACGTGTCGCAGGTGAACTGCAGAGCTTTGAGGCAGCGGCCCTTCTTAGGTTTGGCCTTTTTTGCCTGGAAACGCCCCAATTACTCACTAGCTAGTTTTAGTTACGCACCTCCCGGATTACCTCGCAACTGTTTTCTTCAGCTTCATTTTTGATAGTTTCCAAATTCTTCTCGTCCTTAACACTGGGCCACGCCAGTAATTTGGAATGTGAAAGTTCGCAGGTACGAATAAACCCCACAAACGATATGATCTGAGTCTCGCACTTGTTGCAAATGTTTTCTGGTAGTCCGTCATTCGCCAGGATCTGCAAATTAATGCAGATGCTAAATGTTTCTGAGCCCCTGGCTCATCGATGCTTAAACACTAGATATTAGCGATCTATGAACTATAAAAACAATACGATTATTCCCATAACATTCACAGTGAGTGTGCTCGATCTTTCGCAGGCCCAATTGAAAAGACTGCTCACTTGCAAAGATGTGAACTGCATTAAAGTCTCAGCAAATGTGCAGCTTTTGGAGTCTTCGTCCAAAACATTCCTAAACAGTGAGATTGAGGGGTGCTCGGAAAGGCAGGCCCTGCATAGGCTGGAACGGTCGACGGCAGGGGGCCCCATCATTCCTGCCACCAGCCACCAGTCATCGTTCGTGAAAATCGCCCCAAAAAGAGGGCCTTTAAAGCTTCTTGTTTACCAAAATAACAGCAGAGGTTAGAACCGATTGATTCCTGTCTGGGCTGTTTCTGACGTCAATGCCCTGCCTCGCGTAAACCAGCAGATATGGCAGCGTGGCAAGTCTCTCGCAAACAACACGGTGCAAAAATATGTAACATGTTTGATGACTTCATTTGCATTATTATGGGATGATTTATTATTGAAATATTCTTGAAAAAAATGCTGGTTAATTGATTTTAATTAGTGGACTGGAAAAATTATGACCTGAAATTGACTGCATTATTTAAATTTAATGTATTGCTTACAGTGGAGCATATTAATTATAAATAAATTATAATCAGGTTATACAAAAAAATAGATATAAAGCTAGTAGTGATGGCTGATGGCTGCCCCTCAGTGAATGACGTAACTGCTTAACAGCTGTCACGATGACAGCGAGCCGAACTTCACATTGCACAGTTTCAATGGTAGAATTTATTTATGGAAAAGTAGTTTTTGTGGAAACCTGCCGTGACCCCTTTATCAGTCCTTGATCTTCTTAACAGTGATAACAGGACCACATCTTCACTACATTGCGACGAACAAAACGTGCGCGCCGTTCGTCCAGCAAGATGTTCGCTCAATTCGTTGTGTCGCAGTAATTTTGTCAACAAACAGAGGCAAACGATGGCCTATTTAGTGCAGCAAAAGAGGCTGGAGAAGCCCGGCAAAGAGTCGATCCATTCGGGCCACTTTATGGTCTCCCAGTTCGAGGCGGAAGAGCAGGACGATGAAGACAATGTGGCGGTTCCCATACCAGAAGTGTTGGAGGCCAAGCCTTTGGTCCCCAACAGGGCTTGTCTGCAAGGGGCACTCGAATTGCCCAGTCTGAGGAAGAGTAAACAGCAGATCTGTATCGACCAGAGCCTTTCCAAGCTGTTTGAGTGCATGTCACTGGCCTACAGGTAAGTTACAGCTTTGTTTATTGCCTGTTTTCGTCGCAAAATGCCACAAAACAGGGAGTTGCTTCACTGTTATCAGTGCTATTCGACATGCATCTGATGCTGCATTGCTGGGATTTAATAACGTTTATCAAACCCGCGAAATTGGCGGGCAGTTTCCATGCAACCCTTCCCAAATCGCATTTCTAGTTTTGGCCTTTGAGCCCCGTTGTTAGGCCCAGAAAGGGGCATAAACCAGCTATTTCTTGGGGCCATATTAAGGAAAAGCGAGAGAATTCACATGATTATTCAAATGCTAAATCTAAAGGGCTGCATCTTTGAAACTATACACTTTTTTTTCGTTTTTCTCACAAGAGGAATCCGCCTCTTAAATCTGTTCAAAACGCGCTGTCTAATATTCCATAGACTATTTGCTACAACAACAACAACCACAACTTGGACTTTGGCTTCTCAGTTGTTGCCTTAAAAGCTTTTGGTTTTTGACCCCAAGAAAAGGCAATAAGTCGGCTGTAAAGCGACAACTTGTTGCTACAGCTGTAATAAAGATGCGAATAAACAAAGCCCTTAAAAGTTATCTGGTTTTGCTTTATTGTTGTGTATGCACGGATTTTATCAGGCTAAATTCAGGGGTTTCCTACAGTTGGGAAGTTTACAGCTGGTGTAGCAGGATTTTTGGAAGAAAGCCGTCGTAAATTAGCCATGTGTTTTTTGCCACTTCTCATTGGTTAGTGTGTTTTTCAGTTTTATCGATCAAATTGCGGCTCTGATGATGAAGACGGGTTTGTTTGAGAAATTGGCATTTGATCGGGAAATCCTCCCTTCTTTATATCTGCAAATGACGATTTTCTAGCGATTTGAGCCGATTTTTCGACTACAACAAAATGACTGGCAGACAGACAATCCTCGCTCGATTAGCTTAGCAAGTTTCGCTAATTTCGCAAATTTTTGCCGATTGCTTAGATTTCAAAGGTGCAATGGCGTTAGAATTTCTTCAAAAATTTCTCAGTCACAATGAGGTTCAAAGAGAGGGTTGTTTTATAGACCATTTGATAGATTAAGCTTCATTCCGGCGTGAAATCTCCATCCGTTTGCATTTTTTCTCTAGGAAATTGATCTGGTGATGATCTGAGAACCAAAACTTCGCTATAAAACAAACGATTTGGATTTTGTGTCTAGAGTTGGCTGAAAACGGACGCTCACCGCGTTCTAAGTTAATTTTAGTCCTTAAACCAATTGATTTGAGTTTTTTGCGTCGAAAATTGACTAAAATCGGCCCGAAGTTTCGATCGAAATACATTTTCTTCTGTTGGGAAATGATCTGATAATGGTTTGAGAACCGAAACGACGCTCTAAAGTTTAGAATTTTGATTTCGCCTCGAAATTTGTCTGAACTTAACCATACATTGCGATCTAGATTATTTGTATACAGAAAAATTTCTTTGATGATGTCTTGATGACCGAAACGCGGGTGCTTTATAAATTAATGGGGTTGGTGTCGAAGTCTGCCCAAAAACAGGCAGAAATTGAGATCGAGACGATTGTTTTCCGGGAAGAAATTCATAAAGCAAACGATTTGGATTTTGTGTCTAAATTTGGCAAAAAACGGTCCTTTATCGCGATCCGAACGATTTTCATACAGGAAAAATAATTTGATGATCGTAGTAGTACCGAAACGCACCTTATAGACCAATTGATTTGAACTTTGCGTCGAAAATTGACTGAAGACGGGAACAAATTCCGATGGAGCTGGATTTTTTAATAGAAAATTGACCTGATGATGTTTTTAGTACCGAAACGTTTTGGATTTAAAAGCTAAATTCATTTTATTCAGAAAAAAGTGTGTGATGATGGTTTGACAACCGAAACATACGTTCAAAACCATCTGATTTCGATGAAAATTTGACTGAAAGAGGGCAGAAACTTAAATCGAGATGCATAGATTTTGCATCAGAATTTGACTAAAAACTTATTGCAATCTAAATGATTTTCACCCAGGAAAAATAATTTGATGATGGTTTTAGTGCCTAAACGTACCTTATAGACCAATTGACTTGGATTTTGTGTCGAAAATCGCCTGAAAACGGACAGAAATTTTGATGGGGCTGGATTTTTAAAGAAAATTGATCTGATGATGGTCTGAAGACCGAAGCAAGGCTATACATCTTGCAAAGATCCATTTTTTCTCTAGAGAAGGATTCTGACGATGATTTGAGAACCGAAACGTAAGTTAGCAAGCCGATTTTCACTTCAATGCATCCAATTTTAAAAAACTTTACAATTAAACTTAAGCTTAAAACAATAAACTTATATTTTTAGTCAAACATTTAATAAAAATGCGAGAAAATTCTATCGAGGCGAATTTTATATTTAAAAATTGTCTGATGAGGGATTAAGATCCGAAACAGCTTGTTGCTACAGCTGTAATTGAGATGCGAATAAACAAAGCCCTAAAAGTTATCTGGTTTTGCTTTATTGTTGTGTATGCACGGATTTTATCAGGCTAAATTCAGGGGTTTCCTACAGTTGGGCAGTTTTCAGCTGGTGTAGCAGGATTTTTGAAAAAAAGCTGTCGTAAATTAGCCATGTGTTTTTGCCACTTCTCATTGGTTAGTGTGTTTTTCAGTTTTATCGATCAGATTGCGGCTCTGATGGAAGACGGGTTTGTTTGAGAAATTGGCATTTGATCGGGAAATCCTCCCTTCTTTATATCTGCAAATGACGATTTTCTAGCGATTTGAGCCGATTTTTCGGCTACAACAAAATGACTAGCAAGCAGACAATCCTCGCTCGATTAGCTTAGCAAGTTTCGCTAATTTTTGCCGATTGCTTAGACTTCAAAGGTGCAATGGCGTTAGAATTTCTTCAAAAATTTCTCAGTCGCAATGAGGCTCAAAGAGAGGGTTGTTTTATAGATATTTGATAGAGGAAGCTTCATTCTATCAGTTCAGAAAGTGTATATTTTCAAGCAATTTTTGGCGATTTTTTAAATGGGGACGATGTAATTGATTTTTGTCACCCTAAGTAGTTTAGAGTTTGTTCAGAAAATTCCCACTCAAAATGAGGAGCAACTAGAGGATAATTTTAGATACCGATTGATAGCGTATGCGCTCTATTAAATCTGCAATTGTCAATTTTCTCGCAAATTTCGTGATTTTTTTCCGATTGCTTCAGTTCAGAGGATGCAATTCGTTTGTTGTGACTACTTTTAATCGAATAAAACACACCCTGTATGTGCAAGTAATTTGCAATAGACAAATTTGGTTTGATCATCAACACTTTGTAGAAGTCAATCAAAATCTTCAGGGGTTTTGCAACTACAAACGTTGTAAAAATCGCTAAATAAAACTGGTACGGAATGATCTAGTTTGTAAAAATTGGGACACGTGCGAGCTTATGAAGGATAACGTAAACAAGTTCTATAAAGCAGATTCGTTTTAATTAAGCAGTAATAAGAGCGACGCATTATTTAAAACGGCAGATAAATTGGCATGTTTTGTTGAAGAGGTACCAATTAGTTGAGCTAATAATGTTAATGTGTCGACGCTGATGGTGACAAGGCAAAACAAGCCCAAAATGGAAATTATACATTTTAAACAAGCGATTTATTGAGTTGGTTTAGTACAGGGCGTGTTGATAATTTAGGACTTTGAATGGATGAACTTGATGAGATCGACCACTCGGTTGGAGTACCCGAACTCGTTGTCGTACCAGGCAATCAACTTGACGAAGTTGTCGTTCAAAGAAATCCCGGCCAGAGAGTCGAAGATGCAACTTCTGCAATCGCCGTTTACGTCGGAAGACACGATCTCCTCTTCAGTGTAGCCAATGATTCCTTTAAATGCGCCCTCAGCGGCTTCTTTGATCTTCTGCTTGATCTGGTCCATGGAGGCTGGCTTGCCAAGTCTGCAGGTCAGATCGACGACTGAAACATTCGGAACTGGCACCCGAAAGGCCATCCCAGTCAGCTTCCCTTTAAGGTCGGGGATCACTTTGGTGACAGCCTTTGCAGCGCCTGTCGCTGCTGGAATGATGTTCTGGCCGGCTCCTCTCCCATCTCTCCAGAGCTTCCCCGAAGGGCCATCTACAGTTTTTTGCGTAGCAGTGGTGGCGTGAACGGTCGTCATCAGCCCTTCGACTATTTCAAAATTATCGTGGATTACTTTGGCCAGCGGTGCCAAGCAATTCGTGGTGCAAGAAGCGTTCGATAGAACATTCTGTGAAGGGTCGTACTTATCCAGATTGACTCCACACACATAAGTTTCTGCATCGGCTGACGGTGCGGAAATGATCACCTTCTTGGCGCCGCCCTGCAGATGCAGCGAAGCCTTTTCGACGGTTGTGAAGGCCCCAGTGCTCTCCACCACGCACCAGGCCCCCACTTGTCCCCACGGGATTTTTGTGGGGTCTTTCTCGTTGAAAACCTCGATTTTGTCGCCATTCACAAACAGGCACTTGCCGTCGGTCGAGACGCATCCATTGAACTTTCCATGAGTGGAGTCGTACTTGAACAAGTAGACCATGTAGGCGGGGTCCAGAAAAGGGTCATTTACCCCCACTACTTTGACGCCCTTCTCCAGGGCGACGCGCAGTACCAGTCTCCCGATTCGCCCGAACCCGTTGATCCCGATTTGGGCCATTTTTCCAGGATTTTTGCCGGGAAGAAGTTTTTCAGTGGCAGCGACTTCAACTTTCGCGATTTGGTGCTGGTTATTTGGAGAAGGTAACCTGGGAAACGGATGGTTTTTTGAGTGTAGAGCGGGTGGAGTTGGAGGGTCTCCCTTTTTCTCCCTGGGATAGTTTGGGGTTTTGATACTGCGATTTGAATGAAGTTTTTACAGTCCTTGGAGGACTCTGCTATATACTGTGCAAATTTTAAGGCTCTGATTGGTCAGGGTTGGAAGTTAGGCATTTTTCAAGGGGGCGTGCCATTTAACTGAAATTTTCCGTCTTTTCAGATTCAATTCTTTGCTCTAGACTGCCAAAATTTCAAATTTCTGCTGCCGCCAGTTTGGAAGTTATGCAAATTTAAAAGGGAGCGGACAGTTCTGTCGAATTGTTTACTTCGAAGTGAGAATTTTCAAAGGTTGTAAAAATTTTGATTTAGTGGTATTTGAATAGAACTTAAAGGGGCTCTTATATGCAGGTGTTTTTTGTAAACTGTGAAAGTTTCAACTTTCTGCTTGTTCTAGGGAGAATTTTGGAAGTTTTTGAACGCGAGCATGCAGTTTTGCGAAATCGGTCATTTACGGGACAGAGTTTGCAAAGCGTATAAAAGTCAGATTCTGTGCGATTTGAGTGAAATTTTCAGGGTTTGTAGGTTCAATTTGTTCCTTTACACTGTGGAAGTTGCCATTTTTTGCGTGCTCGGGGTTGGAAATTACGAAGTTTTAAACGTGTGCCTATAGTTAGTTGAAATCATTCATTCTCTGGTCAAAATTTTGTAAAAGGCACAATTTGAATGAGAATTAATTCGAATTTTCAGGGTATTAAATAGCTTGCTCTAAAGTGTTACAAAGTCAAGGTTCTAGTTGCTTTCGGTTGGGAGTTTTTAATGTTTAAAGCAGAGCGTGCAGTTGTGTAAATCGTTCATTGGCAGGCCAGAATTTCCAAAGCTTCTAAAGATCAAGATTTGGTGCCATGTGCATGAAAGTTTCATGGTTTGTTTATTCGGGTGTCTTTTCTAAACTGTGGGAGTTTCAAGTTTCTACTCGCTCTAACTAGAAAGTGGGGAATTTTTGAAAGGAAATGAGAAAATGTTTGATATCGGTCATATGTCAGAGTGTACAAAGTTTCTACAAATTAGAATTTAGCGCGATTTGACAGGAATTTTAGGGCTTTGCAGCTTTACTTGCCTGCTGTAGACTGTGAAAGTTTCAAGTTTTTATTTTCTTTGAGTTGGAAATTACGAATTTTTAAACAGGTGCCTGTGGTTGGATGAAATTGGGTGGCCAGAATTTACAAGTTTGTAAAAATTAAGTGAGATTTGATTGCAATTTTCAGGGTTATCAGATTCAATTCAATTCAGGTTATCAGAATTAACATTTTCAGGGATTTTTTGTCGAAGTGTCTTTAATGAACTGTGAAGTTGCCCAGTGGATTTTAAGTTTGCGATTTTTCAATAAGAACGTCCGGTTGAGGAAATTCTAATAATCCATTCGCAGATCAGTGTTTACAGATTGGGTAAAAATCAGCATTTAATGCACTTTCATCGCAATTAGACCTAAGTATCTCCTACAGACTGTAAAAATTTCAAGTCGATACATGTCCTGGAATAGAAGTTATTAATTTGCCAAGCGCATGGCGCTAATTTGCCGAAGTGTTCATTTTGAGGTCAAGATTAATCCAGGAGGAAAAAACTAGGGCTTGATGCGATTTGAATTGAATTTGGCGCATGTTCAGGTTTAGGTTTTGGCCATAAGATGTACACATTTCAACTTCCCTATTATCTTAGATTAGAAGTTCTGAAAATTTCAAAAACAGCCTGCAGTCGTGTAAAAACTAATCATTTTTATACCAAGATTTACAGCATTGTCAATAAAGCGACTGTAGTGCTATTTGAGTGAAATTTTTAGCACTTGTAGACTGAAGTGTTTTCGGTAGACTGTGAAAATTTCAAGTAGCTGCACGGTCTGGGTTAGAAGTTAGGAGTTTTTATAGACGGTGCCTGTCAGTATGCTAAACCGTCCATTTTCCGTCAAAAATTTTCATTGGATCCATGCATTAAATTAATTGAAGCAGTGAGCAGTTTTTGGACAATCAAACGATTAACAAACGACGAACATTTGGGCAAAGCACCCCTTATCTCTCATTTACGAGTCGCCATGACTGTTCTCCCAGTTTGCAAACTCAAAACACGAAAAGCGTACATAAATGATCATTGTGGCTGGAAAAGGTTATCCAAACTAACGATAAATCTCCGAGACAACATTTTAGAATAAAATTGTTTAGAAAGTCGAAAACTGTATTACATTATCTGATAACAGGAACACAAACAAGTCGAGATTTTAGTGTGTTACTACACGTTCTTATCAAATTGTTGTTGCAACTTTTAGTGCTAGTTGCTTGTTTTTTTGGCCATAATTTTCGCCTATAAAGCCTTACCAAGCTGTTGGACTGCAGATAAACAAATTGGGCTGGTGTACAAAGTGCATGGTTAATTTTATATAAACAAGACATCAAATCGGAAGCCCCGAAATAGATCGGTTGCTAAAATTAGTTGGCCCACATAATTTGGAAATTTCCATTGCGCATTTGGTCAACTTGCCGTCCATCACTCGATACCAATCAGTCTCAATTGAAAATTTTATCAGAAGATGCTGCAACTGGGGGGAAATCTTCGGAAATTGCTTTGTTTTTAGATCAGCCTTATCTAAACTAGTCCAGCTTATTATCAAATTACATCATTGCCAGAATGCATTGTGAAACGCAGAAACAATTGTATTTTCGAAGTTTATAAATGAAATTCGGCCAGATTTAATTTCAGAACCGCTGCATTGTTTATTAGCAAAAGCCACAAAAATAAAATGTCTAAAGGCAAGAAAATTGGAATTATTTTTAATTTTAATTTTTAAATTAATTTACATTACATTTAGTGTTATTAAATCAGACGTAATCGACTGGCTGATAAGCGCTACTGTCGTAACAAGTAGGTAAATAGCCTGTGACAATCACTAAAGCAAATAGGAAATTTATAGCGATTTCGGTGATCGAAGTCGAAAAAGAGCGAATTTATCTATATATCATCTTTGCTGAAACGGGAATTCTCCTAAATGATACCTTGAAGCTAGTAAATCACCAACCAATAGAATGCAGTTTTCTTCTGATGTCCTAAAAGTTTCATTACGATGGGTGCTTCTGACGATTTGTGAGAAATTTTGGAAAATGAGGTTACCAACTCGTCGTTTAGCTACTTTTCACAAATACATTTTTCGTACGCGATTTTTTCTAGCTGGTAGCTTTTCATATCAATCAATAGAACACACTTTTCGCTCTGTATCCTGAAAATTTCATAACGCTTGGTGTTTTTGGTGATTTGGGAGGATTTTTCAAAAATGCGGTTGCCAACTCGTCTTTTAGCTATTTTTCACAAATAAATTTTTCTTCCACGATTTTTTCTGGCTGGTAGCTTTTCATATTACTCAATAGAACACACTTTTCTATCTGTATGCTGAAAGTTTCATCACGATTGGTGTTTCTGACGATTTGTGAGGAATTTTGGAAAATAAGGTTGCCAACTCGTCTTTTAACTACTTTTCACAAATTAATTGTTTTTAAATGACCTTTTCTAGCTAGTCGCTTTTTACTTCACTCAATAAAATACACTTTGCCCTATGTACCCTAAAAGTTCTATTACGATGCTTGCTTTTGTTGATTTGTAAGAAATTTTTGAAAATGTAGTCGTCTCTTTCAAGCTACACACACACATTAATTGTTCTCAAACGATCTTTCCTAGCTTCTACCTTTTTGCTCCGCACAATAGAGCATAGTTGGCTCTATATAATCTTGCCTATAGCCTTCTTAAGAACAAACTTTCTGAGCTTCTCTGGCATCTTTCTCTTGGAACTTGTTTGGCATAACTTCATTTGTATTAGTTGCTTAAAAGTTTGCTACATATTAAATAAAAAGTAATCTTCGGCTTCCTGATAAGTGCGATCATCGAAACACTAGGTAAATAGTCAGTGACGACGATAGTCACCGCAAATAAATTAAGAAAAATCTATTCTATCGGTTATATAAGGATATCCAGAGCGAAATTAGCTCCGGACAGCCCATGTAAATTATGGTCGCTATTAATAAAGCATGTGGAATTTTCTGAACTAAAACTATCCACTAGTGGTTTATTGGGAGAATGTCCGATTTTCCACGTCATTTGGCCGAAAATTGAATGATGCGTCACGGATTAACGATTAATAATTGTATCAATGTAAAACATGTCCATCCAAATCTAAATATTTGTTGGATTGCAGGCAGAAACTCACATCACCCAAATGGAATAGATTTAGAGGCATCCGGTTGAGATGGAAGGACAAAATACGCTTAAACAATGTGATTTGGAGATGTTGGCATCTTCAATGTGAGTCTTGCTTCTTCGTCCGTTTTGCGCTTTTCTCTAATGATTATTTTCCAGTCATCAAGAAGGAAAACACGCTCATTTGCCAATTTGCCTCCCCTTTGGACGTCGACACCCACAACAAACCAGAAGTAAGTTTATTATTCCAGTTTTGTATTTAGGGATTTTTTTTTAACTTCAATTACTATTTCTGCACTGCGAATTGGGCCGAAAAGAACAATTCTTTGCCCTGAGAACTAGTTTTTTTAGCAATTCGTAGCGATAAGGTTTTTTTGGCGATTTTGGTAGGCAGTTTGGTGATTTTAAGATATTCATTTATCTTAAATGGCCTGCACTAGTAGTCCATTTTTGCTCCATTAGATACAGCAGACTTTTCTCTATGTGTGGTATAAGATTTATCACAATGCGTGCTTTTGGCAATTTGTGACAAATTTTTGAAAATTTAGTGTGCAACTCGTGATTTTCAAGCAGATCACTGCAATATAATGTTCAAAAATTAATTTCGCTCTAATGCCGTCGGCTAGTAAAGAACTTTTTACAGCCTTGCTTTAAGCACACTTTGCTCTATGTATACTGAAAGCCTCAAGTGTRTTTTGGATAATTTTTGGGAAATTTTTGTAAATGCAGTTGCCAWCTCGCCTTTTTCAAGCACAACACCTTTCGGACCAATTTTCAAACATTAGTTTCTCTCAAATGGTCTCGGCTAGTGAGCAGCTTTTCACTGTCTTACATAGAGCATATTTTTCGCTATATACAGTGAAAGCCTCACAGCCAAGCGTGTTTCAGATGATTTTTGGGAAATTTTTGTAATTACAGTTGCAATCTCGCATTTTTCAAGCAAAACACCTTTCGGGCTWATTTTMAAAAATCAGTTTCTCTSAAATGGTCTYGGCTAGTGAGCAGCTTTTCACTGTCTTGCATAGAGCATATTTTTCGCTATATACAGTAAAAGCCTCATAGCCAAGCGTGTTTTAGATGATTTTTGGGAAATTTTTGTAATTACAGTTGCAATCTCGCATTTTTCAAGCAAAACACCTTTTGGACCAATTTTCAAAAATCAGTTTCTCTCAAATGGTCTCGGCTAGTGAGCAGCTTTTCACTGTCTTGCATAGAGCATAGTTTTCGCTATATACAGTGAAAGCCTCATAGCCAAGCGTGATTTAGATGATTTTTGGGAAATTTTTGTAAATGCAGTTGCCATCTCGCCTTTTTCAAGCAAAACACCTTTCGGGCCAATTTTCAAAAATCAGTTTCTCTCAGATGGTCTTGGCTAGTGATCAGCTTTTCACTGTCTTGCATAGAGCATATTTTTCGCTATATACAGTGAAAGCCTCATAGCCAAGCGTGTTTTAGATTATTTTTGGGAAATTTTAGTAAATGCAGTTGCAATCTCGCATTTTTCGAGCCAAACCCTTTGCCGACCAGTTTTCAAAAATGATTCCTCTCAAATGGTTTCGGCCAGCAGGTAGCCTTTTACAGCCTTGAATAGAGCACACTTTGCTCTATGTGTGCCGAGAGTCCCTTAGCAATGCGCCCTTTAAGCATTTTTTGAAAATGCAGTGTCCTCCCGCATTTTCCAAGCTTTGCAGCTCATGCAGATCAATTTTTTAAAAAATTGTTGTGCTCAAATGCTTTTTGCTGCCTAGAAGTTTTTGGAAGCATTAGATAGAGCACACTTTGGGCTATTTATGCTGAGGGTTTCATCGGGTTGGGGGCATTGAGTAATTTATGGAGAATTTTCGAAATCTCAATTTTTTTTCGATTACAGGCCATTGTTCTGGAAGGAAAGTACTGGAAACGGAAGTTGGCGGCTGTAACGGCAGAGTACAAAAAATGGCGCATGTTTTACCGCAACCACATCTACGGCCACACGCCCAAAGAAGAGATGGAGATGGTAAGTTGCTCATTTCCACCGTCCCCCCCAAGAAAAGCGTGGCTTCTGAAGGTGCTCTGTAGATGAACGATGTGGATGCCATTCTGGCCGATTCGAACAGCATGGACACAATGAACATGATGATCGACGAGGACTACATGGGGCTGATGAGCGACACTCTGTTCTCCACCATAGCCAATCAGCCTTACGCCTTTCCCGATACCAGAGAACTTGGTAAACTTTTGTTGTCTCACTTAGCAAAGGCAGCTGATTGGGCGGTACTGTGTGACATTTACCTCAATGTTTTGCAGCCAAGTCCGGTTTCGCTGACTTTATACAGCCCAGCTTGGGGCCGTTACAGCCCAACTTGGACGACTACATGGATACCTTCGATCCGCTACAAGGTATGTTTGGAAACATTCAATCAGGCTTCGTTTTGCTGATTTTTTTATATTCGAATCAGATGTTTTGTACATGCACAATAAGCTACCCACTGTACCTGAAGAGCAGCAGCACCCAATCAATTGGGATTACCCGGGACCAATTAGGCCATCGGATCTACCCCCTCTTGTAAGCAATTACAGATTGTTGATGGTTAATTAGCAGAAATTAACCGACCCGATTGGATGTAGGTGGCCGCTGCTCAAACCGCCAGCCAATACCAGCCTCACATTCCAGAGCTGACACGCCCATCAGGTCTGGAAAAGCCTCAAGACAGCCAGATTGCGATGTTTAACAATGCGATGCTGCCGCCCCAGCCATACATTCAATCCAGCAGCTATTCGATTATATCGAAAATAACACCAAAGTCCAACCATGGCACCAGCAGGGGCAAGCTGAGCCATGGGTTGATTGGGGGCTCTTTTGGAAAATCCATGGACAACCCTAATAAAGCTTATCCAGGCTATGGAACCACGCCGATTCTTGATCATGTCAGCCGTAATGATCGATTACAACAAGGTGAGGCTTTTTTTTTGTATGTATTCATGGTGGTTGAATAACAGTGCAAGTGGGTAATTTCGCCGACTAGACTTTAGAATATAATTTCTCTCAATCAGTCTTAGTTAGCGGATGGGTGTTTGTACCGTTCACCAAAGCAGACTTTGCTCTATGTGTCCTGAAGTTTTGACAAAGATGGGGGATTTTGGGGATTTGAGGTCAATTTTTGCCAAAGTCTAGTTGCCCACTTGTTTCAGCTTGGTTGGAGCACATTTTGATCTATACAGGGTGTTTCACAGTCACGGGGTAATGACTGGGGAATGGTTAACAGGCTCGTCTAGCACATAGGTTTTTACAGCTAGGCACATTTTACGCTAGGTATGGTGAAAGTTTCATCACGACGGGTGAAAATTCAAGTGAAGCTTTTCCCATGTGTTTAGGGATGCGAAAGGTATATTTTTGCAAAGTCTGACGGAATGTTTTATTACAGTGCCAATGGTGGCAAAGCCATCGCAGCCACAACAGCACCGGACTCAAGTGCAGGATTTGCCTGTCAACGAGCCCCAATTCAGGCCCCAAGTGCAACCATCCACCGGTTCTGCAGCGTACAAATTTTCGGCCACAAATCGGCCCAATCTGAAATTTACATCACCCAATGTCCAGCAACAGGTACAAGCGCCGTCCCAAATGATGCATCCGCCTATGCATCCCTCGCACATTTCTTATCACACTAATTTTCCTTCGGTTGTTGTAAGTTTTGGTTTGTTTTCTCTACTGCTTTCCTCAGTTTAGTTGGCTGCTGTAGATAGAAGCTTTTCCAAACTGTTTGCAGCCGATTTAACTTGCTAATCTTGCTCCCACAGCCGAAAGACATCAAAGTGGAACATCAAAACCGCGCCACTCAACGAGGGCGGGGCCGATCACGGTCCAACACTCGGGAACCAATGAAAAGGCCGCCCTTACTGTCAGCGTCAAGTGATACCGCCCTTATCACGCCCCAAACCAATGCGCTGTTGACGCAATTGCTGACCAGCAGTGAGTATCCGCTATTCGCCGTTAAGTTTCCGCTGGAAATGCTTGGGAAATTCGGTTGCAGACGCCCCATTGGCGGAAACCGTCCAGTCGTGGTCAGCCAATCACAACATGCCGCCCAGCAGGGTCAAAGAGGAGGCCAAAGCCCTTCCGGTGCTCAAAAATCCTTCGGTCAGTGTCATCCCGCTGACCTCACAAATCAGTGTCAACACTGTGTCGCTCACCAATGGGGATTCGGTGAGTGAATGATGGCAAGTTTTCAAATTTGATCGGCAATTCGGGACTTTCAGTCCTATTTGAGCACCTACAGTGGCTCAAACAGCCCATTGGACTCGCCCTCGCAGAATCTGCACTCTCCCACTTCGTCTCAAGGCTCCATGGGGTCTCCAAGTCGAGAAGGTTCGAGAGACCGAAGGGTGGGGCATATTCATGCGGAGCAGAAGCGCCGGTGCAACATCAAGAACGGCTTCGACATGATCAACTCGCTGATTCCGCAGCTGAATCAGAACCCGAACGCAAAGGTATTGACTCATTTGCTCGACTGGAAACAGTCCGGTAAAACGCAGCTTTCCCGTAGCTGAGTAAAGCCATGCGGTTGCAAAAAGGCGCTGAGTACATCAGAACGCTGCGCGCTGAGCGCCATCATCTCAAAGAGGAAATGGACTCGTTGCGGCAAGAAATCGAGTCGCTCAACACCTCGATAAGGTAAAAGCAGCCACTGGTGGGGTCGATTTCGATTTTTTTTCAGCAATTTTTTCCGCAGCAATTGCCAGTCGATGCTACCTGCCACGGGGGCGCCGGTGTCGCGGCGCCGAGACAGTCGTATGCAGGAAATGTTCGATGACTATGTTCGGAATCGGACGATGGAGAATTGGAAGTTTTGGATTGTATCCTTTTTTCGATGCGATTTTTTATGTTTTTTTATGGCTCCGTTCTGGCACCTTTTTTTTGCCTATAGGGTTTGATCAGAAACTCCTAAACTCTAAAGAGATAGAGGAAAAACAGCTGATGGACCGTAAAGACTTTTTGGATCGGTTGATTCAAGGCAATTTTTACCCCTTAATCGTCGAATAGAAAAATCTAATCCCCAAAGGACATACAGAGATTTTTAGTACATTTTCATCGGCATCTCGCCAACGCTTGAATCTTTTTGAATAATCATTAGGACCTTTTCGATGCAGCATCTCAAGAGCTCTCTTTTTCCAATTAGGCCTTATCAGAAGTTCCAAACGGTTGAAAAGTTACAAGAAAAAATGTGAAATTTTAACGGGCGTCGAAGTTGAAAAGCTCATATCTTTGAAACGGTTGAAAATATCGCTCTAGTCGTAAAGATCTTTTTGATCGCGCATGATGAGAACTTTTTTCCCATCTAGACTTTATCGGAAATTCCTAACCTGTAAAAAGTTACAAGAGAAAATGTCAAATTCTCACAACTGCCGTGTAGTGTACAACGGCCTGTTGCTAAGCTACAGGCCATGTCGCTCAGTCTAGTTTTATCGGTGGGCGGTAAACACTGCGCGATTCGCTCCGTGAAAATGCGAAAAATCCAAGTTTTTTTCGATTTCCCAGTGAAGATTCGCGGATTTTCGGAAAATACGCGGTTTTCTTCAGCTGTTTGTGGTGTTTTTTCCATCGGTATACCAAATTTTTCCAAATAAACGAGTTTTTGCAAATCGAGAACATCTGACGTTTGCTGTCAAGCCATGACAGTGCCACAACACAGGCCTACTATCGTATTAGAATCGCCGTTTTGTGACATTGATGGGCGTTTGGAGGCGTTCTTGCAGGTTTACTCAAAGGTACTGTGAAAATTGAATAAATGATTACAGAAACGGACCAAACTTATGGGTGGGTGAGATTTTTTCAAACTGCATTTTAAAGTCGGAACAAACGCAATATTTTTCTGATTCCCATCTTTCGATTCAACCATGTATGTAGCTCTAGAACCAGCTTCAGGCATTAATGAGACGATTTATGAAGATTTTTCATGCCTTTTTTAGACCATGCACCTCTGTTGGCTTCAATTGTAAATTCCTATTAAGACTAGCATGAAATTCTGTAATTTTTCCCGTTTGAGGTAAGGGCGTATTTTTTAGTCGCATGCAGCTGTTTCACTTGCAGTTAAATTCAATTTTCATAAAATGCATACGTTTGGAGTGAGTAGATATAGCAGATAACAGTTTAAAGAGGTGTAACAAATATTTCTTGATATATTTCCGAACTTTTGCATAGTTTAGCCTAATATGTCGGCCGTTATTGGCCTCATTTAACAACTTTGTATCGTCGTCAAGTCTTGATGATCTTTACTCATCAACGTTATTGTGGGTAGAACAGCATTGCACGCTAGTCGATCTCAGACCTGGTAAGTCCATTCGAAGGCTCAATATGTGCAAATTACCGATTTAGTGCGATTTTAGTGGTGCTCAACTCTTTACGGTACCTGTGCACTAAGACAGAAATCCTCTCGGAACCCGACAAGTTGCCTGAAGAAGCCAGGCAGTTGGTACTGAAGAAGGACATGAAATAGCACGCGGCCGTGTATTTTTGCTCATTTCTCGTCTCCAATGTGGATCAAGATCGAACAAAAGAGGCAGCATTTTCATAGCGTCTTCCACTATGCCATATTAGTGCAATATGTGAAAGTGGCTTCCAGTCGGCCATCCATTGTGGATGCACTTTCAATTTTAACCCTTTTTTCCTTACTCTAATGTTTGTATGATTATTGTGCCTTCGCCGTGGGTATTTTGGAAACTGATTTACATTGGCCAGCTGTTGCATGGACATTTTATAGGGTACTTATGCCGTAATACTGTATAAACTGTATGTTCCGTTTCAGTTAGTAATAATGCTGTTAATTTTTGTCTTTAAATATTTTACGTAAACGTTTAAAATAAACCGTTTCAAAGCAACGTTGTTTGCGTTGTTTTTTATTGGGGGTTTTACCAATACCAATAGGCAAAAACAGGACTGAAACCACTGCAACATAAAATAAGGTGTTTATTTGAAAAATAGCGTATATAAACATTTGGTTTGTTAAGTGTAACGAAAATAATACAAAATAATCTGGGGAATGAGAACTTGCAAGAATTAATCAATAAATAAAAATCACCAGAAGATAGTGTCCACTAACACTAAGAGACTAGTTGATGGCATTTTTGGGCGGGCTCTCCTCAAACATGCAGGTCAGAGCGGCCAAAAATACCATTGACCAGAGCATGGCACTAAAACTAACTAACAGAAAAATATCACCGATTTTGACTATTCGAGTCGCATTGGGGCTTTGAGTGGAGCTTCTGGAACAGCACCATTAAGTCCTTTTCCGGGAAAAGCGAGCAAAGGACCCCTTCAAGCAGCACGTAGAGCAGACGCCGATTCAAGGTGGGCCTTTGAAACAGATCGAAAATGGTCAACAGGCCTTTTCTGGTCGTTTCAGAGCCGATAATGTGCTTCAACTCGTCCGACAGGCAGGACAGAAGAGCCGCTTTGGATGCGACTCGTGTCCGGTTTTTGGTGTCCGCGCTGCGGTCCGATTTCCGGTCGCTTCGCATGCCGTTAGGCCAAAAAGACTGCCTGAAAGGCCGCTCTAGTCAACTGCCATTCACGGGCTGGCTTTGGGGCTGAAGACTTACTTGAACACGTAGAGGTAATGGGCGACGTTCTTCGGACTGGTCACATAAGAGACGTAGTCCAGAATTCTTCGGTTAACGATGTCGCCGAACATTGTGCGGACTATTTGTCTGAGGATGGTGACGATCCGACGTCTCAGCCATTGGTTTCTGGACTTTAAGTCGAAGACTTCGTCCATCAGCAGCAGCATTATTCTCAGCGGAATGTTGTCGTCGCTCTGCAAAAACAAACCCATATCAACATCCCGCTAAAATTTGCTTGTTTGCCACAAACTTCCTCGATCGATGCGCCCACTTTGCTGGTTTCCGGCAGTTTTCCACTTTTGCTCTGGAAAACCTTCGACAATCCCCCAACCACTTCATCCACAGTGTTAATTAAGTGCTCTGGCATGTTCTTGATGGTTTTCATCCCGGATTTAATCGGATTTACCAGGGTGTTTATCTGAAATTCGTCACACAGTCAAGGGAAAACGCGACTGGACATTGGGACTCACTGTTGCGGAAATCGGGCCTCCAGTGGCTCTATCGTAGTCGCCCTGCTCTAAAAAGGTCATAAGCAGGTCTCTAAGACCGCGGTGCGCGTTCATCACAGTGTTTTGGCACAATTCCGCCATGTAACTACCCAGCATTTTCATGCGTCTTTCCAACACGGCGCGCTCCATGTTGTGGAATGTTTTTTTGCCTGGAAAGGCGATTTTCGACAGATCGGGGTACTGAAACAAACGCGCAACGATAAAGCTGAGGAATTTGCTTTAAAAATGCATAAGTTGCAAACACAACATCTAAACTTAGCAGTTCCAATTGTGCGCGTTTGTCCTTAAAAATTCACAAGGCGTGAAGAACGGCAGTAAAGGGCCAAAATTTGCAACTTTCAGGAATGATGATTTACTCTTAATGTGGACAAGATTGCATTGAAGTTGAACTTTCCATTGATTTATCAGAAATTTCCAAACTTTCATATAAAAATTGTTATACCAATTGTGCACGTTTCTGTTTAAAAATTCATAAGTAATAAACTACAGCAGATAAACGGCGGAAATTTCCAATTTGTATAAAAAAGTATCAAGTTGTAACGTAGAAGAAACAGCAAAAAAAGTCAGAATTTTAATTGATTTTTTTAATCCGCAAACTCCTGCATAAAATACGCAGTTTTAGTTGTGCACGGTTGTCTTTAAAATTATATAAGTTGCAATCTACCTCAAACAAAGAACTTAAATTTGGAATTCGGATAAAAAAGGGTTCAGTTGAAAAGTTTGTGGAACAGCACTAAATTCAGAATTTTCCTTGATTTTTTCTAAATCCAGAAACTTCTCTCTAATAATCAATTTTTTTTTTCAACTGTACGCGGTTGCGTTTAAAAATTTATAAGTTACAAAAATCGGCAGATAAAGAGCTGAAATTGACAAATAAAAAAAGGCATTTACTTGTAATGGGGAGAAAATAGCAATGCAGTGGAACTTTCCATTGATTTATCGGAAATTTCCAAACATCCATCTAGAAATGTCTATACCAATTGTGCACGTTTCTGTTCAAAAATTCATAAGTAACAAACTACAGCAGATAAACGGCGGAAATTTCCAATTTGTATAAAAAAGTATCAATTTGTAACGTAGAAGAAACAGCAAAAAAGTCAGATTTTTAATTGATTTTTTTAATCCGCAAACTCGTGCATAAAATACGCAGTTTTAGTTGTGCACGGTTGTCTTTAAAATTACATAAATTGCAATCTACCTCAAATAAAGAACTTAAATTTGGAATTGGGATAAAAAAGGGTTCAGTTGAAAAGTTTGTGCAACAGCACTAAATTCAGAATTTTCCTTGATTTTTTCTAAATCCAGAAACTTCTCTCTAATAATCAATTTTTTTTTCAACTGTACGCGGTTGCGTTTAAAAATTCATAAGTTACAAAAATCGGCAGATAAAGAGCTGAAATTGGCAAATAAAAAAAGGCATTTACTTGTAATGGGGACAAAATAGCAATGCAGTGGAACTTTCCATTGATTTATCGGAAATTTCCAAACATCCATCTAGAAATGTCTATACCAATTGTGCACGTTTCTGTTTAAAAATTCATAAGTAATAAACTACAGCAGATAAACGGCGGAAATTTCCAATTTGTATAAAAAAGTATCAAGTTGTAACGTAGAAGAAACAGCAAAAAAAGTCAGAATTTTAATTGATTTTTTTAATCCGCAAACTCCTGCATAAAATACGCAGTTTTAGTTGTGCACGGTTGTCTTTAAAATTACATAAGTCGCAATGTACTTCAAATAAAGAACTTAAATTTGGAATTCGGATAAAAAGGGTTCAGTTGAAAAATTTACGGAACAGCACTGAATTCAGATTTTTTCTTGTTTTTTTCTAAATCCAGAAACTTCTCTCTAATAGTTTTTTTTTCAATTGTACGCGTTTGCTTTTAAAAATTCATAAGATGCAAAAATCGGCAGATAAAGCTGAAATTTGCAAAATTTAAACAAGGGCATTTACTTGAAATGAGGACGAAATAGCAGTGATGTCGGACTGTCCATTGATTTATCGGAAATTTTCAAACATCCATCTAAAAATTTCTATACCAATTGTGAAAAAATATTCAAAGCTACCAACCAAAACTCTCAATGCTCAATCTGCATACCTTTTCCTTAACTTTCATGTGCAAGTCATAGAAGTCGCTGTATCTCCTATAAATGTGCCACTCTTCCAAATACCCTGACGAATACTGCCTGCTCACCCTAATGGCGTAGATTCCAAAAGTTTTACCCTTTTCGCAAACGATACCTAAAACCGGCCCCGTTTTGATCATTTGTAGCTCCTAAAATCTCAATCCTTCTTACCAGTTTCTATGATATTCACAGCTAATCCGTATTCTCCGGTTTTCAGACTCTCTGCCTCAGTTTTCGAGCTGAAGCTGGCCGCATCACCGTCCACAGGCGCTGCAAGATGCGGGTTAAACAACGACTGTCCATTTTCCGCCCCCTTAAACATAGTGACATCGCTAAATGACCGAGCATGTTTCACCAGTTTGGGTGATTGTTCCACCGCTAGCAGATTAGCGGTGGATTTATTCGGTTTTAGGGTTTCGCCCATACTGTTGTCCTTTTCCAGGCTTTCAATGCTGTTCAAGCTGACGCTGTCCTCCTCAGCTATGCTTTGCGGCACCAAATCCAGCTCATGCAGCATCTTGATGTAGGTTTTGCTTCTCTTAAACGCCGCTAAGCATTCGCTCTCCATTTTCTCAAACATAACTTTCTTCACTTTATCGAACCAGAACTCGTGGGGTTTTTCGTTCAGGTTCCTGATTTTAAAGTGCAAACTTTGCGCAATGTCTTCGCTGATGTTCACTCGCTCCTCTTTGCCGCCTAAGTACTGCTCATAGATTCCTAGGGCTGAGCATCGTGCCTTTTCGCATACCAACAAAGCGGTTTCTGACGGCTGTTGAACCTCGAGTAGCTCCTTTTTTAGGGAATCTTTCCATCCTGGAACGGTTGGGGTTTGAAGCGCAGCATAGTCAAAAAAGGACGGGTTTACCTTCGATGTTCAGGTAGAAGAATAAATCCAGTTGCCTGCCCTGACTGGACACGAAGTCCATGAAATAGGACAGCCCCAGGCTGTCCTGCAGAATTTGCTCAAGGCTTAGGTCGATTTTCGGGATCTTGTCCATAGGAAGGGCCTCGTCCATGCAGCCGGACGTCTCCATCTTCACTAACCTGGAGTCGATGAGTTTCACCACATAAGCCAGACTGCTCAGCTGCTGCTTCACTGCCAGGTCTTCTCCACCTGCATCCCTGGATCTCTACAATTATTTCCTTCAGTCAAGTCCTTTCGAAGCCGTGCAGGCCACTTACTAAGTTGTGTATTTCGCTCTCGACTAACTCTTTGGTACTTTTCAGTTCCTCCGGGCTTTCAGTCAGCCGCAAAGTTGTCAGGAACATTTCGCTGGATATGGGCATGTTTCGCAGACACTGAAACCTTAAGGATAATGGACAAGGTAAAGGATAGAGGACAAACATACGATCCAAAGCATTGCCTGGTTGATATAGTCAGGATCAGCCACCAGGTTAAAGAGTGGCAAAATGACGCCATTTGAGAAAATATCGCGCAGCAAATACCGCAAGGGCTTGCACTGAAAGTCTTCGTCTGGTAGCAGGATGTAAAGCAACACTTCCATAATTTCGCACAGGAATTCTACAATACGTAAACAGTAAGAATGATTATAAGACGCACTCTAGTTAGAAGTGGAACCTTTTTCTTTTGCCACATCAGTGCAGACTACCAGTCTGGAAATTAGATTTTTCTCCATTTGCAGCTCCAAATTGAAGAAATGCTCCTCTAGCGTGCATTCTTTGGCCTCCGGTGAAAAGAACTTTGAATTTCCCACATCTGAAAGCCACTTGCTTGTAAAAGGCTTCTGGATGGCGGTGCTTAACTGATTACCTCGTCCGAAGTCGGAGCTTTTTCCATTATACCAGCTTACGTCGGTTTCGCTTTTGTGTCGCTTGTGGATGGTTTTTTTGGGCGAAGCCCTTGCGTCCTTTGCAGGCGAGTTTCGAGCCTCGCGCTGCTTTTCCTGGATTTTCATCTTGGCCCTTGCTTGCTTGTACAGGCGCAAATGAGTGGCAGCATCGTCCACCAGTCTTTGAGTTAGGTATGGGATCCAATCAACCTCCTTTACTCTAAGTGGAGGAAGTGTTAGCCCGAGTAAAAGGGCCAAAAGAAAGTTTTACCTGTTGGAAATATTGATGGCAAACGTTTGAGCGGTCTGCCTGACGGCCAGCTGAGGAAACTCCGAGTCCATAGAGATTAGGCGATACCAGGGTTCAATGTAGTCCCTGATTATGTAGCCGAGAATCTCTTGTAACGAGCTGTCGATCAGCTCACTGCCTGTTACTCGATTATCGGACTTTGGCACTTTCTTTGGGCTCGACAGGGCTGCTTTGATGGCTTTCAGGCCTCCATCGCTCTGCTGATTAGTCGTGAGCGGATTGCCAGCGCATTTGGCATAGAACGACTCGATATCTCCCAGCTTTAAGTAGAGGAGCGAAAACGCCCTGAAATTTGAAATTGCCGCAGTGCCAGGGCGCGTCCAGCTCAGCACTTACCCAACGAAAAACACTGATATGCCAGCAAGAACTGTTAGTAATCCAAAAACACCGAAACTACTTAGGAGAAGTATCACAATTAGGCTGGCCCAGGCGGTGGTTTGGGGCTCCATTTTCACCAGTTAATAGGGGACATGTTACCAACTGTAACGCGTTAGTGGGAAGGTATTAGATCCTTTTTTGTCAGCCAGGAGATGGAAAATTACTGTGGAAAGATTACTAGTTGGTTGTTGTTATTTATGTTAGAAACGTCAGGTGATTGCTGCCAAAAATGCGAGGTTATGTTACGGAAGTTACGGTTGAGAGCAGCATTTGGCAACGGCGCAAAAGGACTTGGGCGGAAATTTTTTTTGCGCAATTTTTTTACTTAAATATTATTGACTGCATTTAGGTAAAAAAATTTGCGAATTTTCATCAGCTTCATCTAAAAATTGCATTTTTGATTGTACGCGTTTTTTTTTAATTGCCGTAGTTGTAAAGTATGCCAGATTCAGCTAAAAATGGAAATTTTTCCTAAAAATGCTTCAAGTGTTCCTTGTGTGTACTTGCAGTGCATTTGGAGTATCGATTGAGTTTTGAGAATTTTACAAACTTCTATCTAAAAACATTTTTTTTTTAATTATCGCGCGTTTATTTGAAAAAATTCGTAAGTTGCGAGCTACGGAAAATAAAGTGCTGAAATTCGCAATTTTTTCAAGCGAGGCTCCAATCAAAATAGCATGAATTTGAAGCATCCATTGATCTTCGTGAATTCGACAAGCTTTCGTTTAAAAATTGCACTTTCAATTGAGCGAAAGAGTCTTTAAAAATTAAGAAGTTGCAACAACTGCGGTATAAAGGGCTGAAATTGGGAATTTGGGTAAAAGAACATGTTGTTGTTTATGTAGAATAAACAGTAGTGAGTTAGGAATTTCCGTCGATTTTGGAAAATTTCATGTGTAAACTGCATTTTTAAATGTGCGCGTTTGTCTTGAAAAAGTTATAAATAACAAACTACCGTAGTTAAAAGGCTGAAACTTAAAGTTGTTGGAGTAGAAAAGTCTTCATTTATAATGCGTACAAAGTAGCAATGAATTAGTATTTTTCAATAATTTTTTCAAAATTCCCCAAACTTCTAAAAATCTCAATTTTAATAGTGTGCGTGCTTCTTTTTTAATCCCCAATTCCCTCCGATTTGACCGGATTTCTAATTTCTCCACTAAAAGGCGAATCTAAACTGGGTTAAAATACAATATTTTTCCGGATGAACCCATAGATGTCCCTTGAATGGCGAATATCATATCGGCAATGGAGAGCGCGCGAATAATTCAAAAAAAAAAACCTTCCACTTTCCATTGAGTTTCCCTGATCGGTTGCGCACCACCGATGGAATGAAACTCTTCGGCTGTTGGAATTCGAGCTGCCATGGCGCGTTTTGTGGCCACAATTAAGGCGATATTTACGCGAGTTGTTTTTGCGGCCCACGGCTTTTTGGGTATCTGGCAAGTGACGATTTTCAAGAAAAACTCCTTTTACTGGTACCTGAGCTCGCCAATTTTGCTGCTTTTCTTCGAGGGCATTTTCACGTTGACCATCAAGAAGAACCAGGAGTGGAAATGGTGAGTGTGTGAGTGCAGTGCGGAAAATGCGCTCTTTTGTTGTGAGATGCGCTTTTGGGGGTAAAACGATAAAAGTAGGTGTTAGGGAAGTTTCAGGGATTTCTTCGGGTTGAAACAAGCATATTTTTTCTTATTGCTCAATATTGCTGAATAATATGCCGGTTGTAAAGCGACAGCAGCGATATTGATGATCCACTGACGCGATTCGCCTAAGCGATGGTTTGCCTAGCAGTGGATTTCCGGCCCATTTGCGAATGTATTGTGATTGTTTCCGGGCTTTTAGCCCACTGACTTTGAACAGAAAAGTTCAATAGAAGTTTCTCCATTTATAAACCACCAAGAAGGTTTTTCGTTCCGATAATTATGTTGAGTTTTCCAGGTTTTGTCCTTCAGTGTTTCTTTATTTGGCCAGCATTGTTCCGGCAATTTGGCTCTTGGAATTGGATAAAGTGGATAAACGGATGAGAGCTAAAGGGCTGGAATTGCCGATGAACTTTACTGCGGATGGACAACTTAAGGATTTGCACAATTTAATTGGGGTAGGAATTCTGTTGTATATGAATCAACCCTACTAGCTTTTAGTAGCTACCGATTAGTTTCTGACATGCTGGATATTTTATGAAAAATTGCCTTTTTAAATTGGAAACTCGAGTTTGATGCAAAAATTATGGAGTGAAAATTGGTCAGAATCTCAAAGGTTCCTCATGATGAATTTATGTACCAGACATTTTTTTAAAGGGAGGCTTAAACGGGCTGTTTTTCAGATGCTAGAAAAAATGGAAATGTGAAAGTAGGTCGAAATCTAAAAAATTCTACTCCATGAAATTATGAAACTAGCATTTTTTTCAATCAAAGAATCTTGTATTGAATTTTGTAATTTTTGGCCTTTTTCTAGCCTTCAAAGGTACATTTGGACTAGCGCTTTCGACTATTAAGTCATCGTCTTGATTTATTTTGTTCTGAAATTGTTCGGGTTTTTAGAGTCACACCTCGTCTATAAGGTGTACCAAATTCCAGTTGCTACCGGCTCTGGATAAAAAGTTACGAATTTTTATCTCATATTTAATCCGAGACTTATAAAGTTGGCAAAAATCAGCAATTTTCGGAATTTTACTGCAATTATTGGAATTATTAAACTAAAGTATCTTCCATAAAGTGTGCAAGTTGCTACCTGGTCCAGATTTTTTTTAAATATTAATAAATAAGTTTACGTTCAGTGAAAACTTACAGTTTTCGACCAGCATTACTTTGTCAAGTGAGCAAAAATCAGATTGAAGAGCGATTTCAAAAAAAACTTTTATAACTTATGGAGCCAAGTGTCTTCTATAGGGTGCACAACTTTCAACTTGTGCTCTGTCATGGACTAAACGAGACGATTTTTTGAAGAAAGATGTGCAATTTAGTAGAAACCTCCATTTCTAAACTCGCATTAAAACAGTACAAAAATCAACTTTTCCCCGGAATTTTAATTAAATTGTTCGAATGTTTAGAGCCACACCTCTTCTATAGGGTGTGCCAAATTACAGTTCCCACCAGCTCTAGATAAAATGTTACGAGTTTTTCAAAGACGTTTATTTATTAGGGAAACACTTTCATTTTTATACCGGAACTTACAAAGTTAGCAAACCTCAGCGTTTCACGGGATTTCACTGCAATTATGAGGATGTTTAGACCAAGGTATTTTCTGTAAAGTGTGCAAGTTGCTACCTGCTAAAGATTCAAAGAAAATATAAAAAAATAGGTTTAACTTCAGTGAAAACTTACAGTTTTCGAGCATTATTTAGTCAAGTGGTAAAAATTCAGATTGAAGAGCGATTTCAAAAAAAACTTCCATGACTTATAGAGCCAAGTGTCTTCTATAGGGTGCCCAAGTTTCAACATGCTCTCTGTCATGAACTAAACGAGATGATTTTTTGAAGAAAGATGTGCACTTTAGTACGGCCTCCATTTATAAACTCGCATTTAAACAACGCAAAAAAAATAAACTTTTTTCAGACATTTTAATTAAATTGTTCGAGTTTTTAGAGTCAAACCTCGTCTATGGGGTGTGCCAAATTCTATTTGCTACCGGCTTTGGATAAAAGGTTTCGAATTTTTCAAAGGCTTATTATTAGGGAAATACTTTCATTTTTAAACCAGAACTTACAAAACAAAGTTGGCAAAAATCAGCCTTTGATGCAATTTTACGAAAATTATGTGGATTTTTAGACTGGAGTATCGTCTATAGTGTGGCTAAAAATAACAGTTTCTATTATTAAAAACGACATTTGTCTTAAAAAAGGCAAAAAAAATGTTTAGACCAGCAATTACAGAAGCTTCAGGAAATTTTCCGCAAAAATTCGAATGCACTGCGATTCGAACAAAAATTTCAGCATTTGTAAACGTAACTATTTTCTATAGGGTGTGCCAGTTTAAGAATTATCCCTGCTCTGAATTAAAAGTTACGAATTTTTAGAAACAGCGCAATGTTGAGTGCAAGCTTCCATGTTTAGACCAGCTTTTACAGACTTGGCAACATTCAGCTTAACCAGAAAATTGAAAGAGACTTTAACGATTTATAGAGTCACATTTCTGCTATAGGGTGCGCTAGTTGAAACTTGGTAGCTGCTAGTGATTGAACGAGACAATATTTTTCAAAAAGGGGTGCAGTGAAGTGAAGTTGTCCATTTTTAACCCTATTTTTATAAGGGCAGGAAAAAGTCAGGTTTCACGCTATATAAACTAAGTTAATAGAGCTTTCAGAGCTGAGCCTCTTCTATACGGTGTGCAAAATTACAGAAGCTACCGGTTTTCGATGAGGAGTTACGATTTTTTAAAGAAATTGTGTTGTTTTGGCACTATTTCAATTATAAGCCAGGATTTACAAATTAGGCCCAATTTGACTGAAACTTCTGATATTTTTGGAGTAAAGCATCCTCTA